TAAAGCAGTACATGACTTCAGAGTCCTGTTAGCAGATTGAGAGCTTTCCCTTCCCTATGTAGCTGTCTACGGGCTCACCATAGCCCGTGCTACTTGTTCCAAGTAGCGAATCTTAGCAACAACAACAACAACAACAACATCCCTTCCCATAGTAGGTAGGTAGGTCTTAACCTCCTAGTTTTCCCTAGAACACGACCCGCCAATTGGTTAAGAACCAGGAGCTTAATTACTGCTGGGTGAAGATGGGCGAACGGTAATAGATCAGCGACTATTGTTCCTGGCCGGGGCTCGATCCCAGACGAAACCGTTCGTCTAGCCTAACTTAATTACCCCGAGGAGTCAGGCATATCTGAATGATTAGGTTATTTGTTAAAATTTAATAATCTGACGAATTTCTACTGGTTAGACCTCGTAGGGGCCTCGTAGCCTGGTGGATAGCGCGCAGGACTCGTAATTCTGTGGCGCGGGTTCGATTCCCGCACGAGGCAGAAACAAATGGGCAAAGTTTCTTTCACCCTGAATGCCCCTGTTACCTAGCAGTAAATAGGTACCTGGGTGTTAGTCAGCTGTCACGGGCTGCTTCCTGGGGGTGGAGGCCTGGTCAAGGACCGGGCCGCGGGGACACTAAAGCCCCGAAATCAACTCAAGATAACCTCAAGATAGGCTGATTAATTATTCCCTCAATAACTTCAAAATTAGATGAAGATACTTAATGTAAATGGATAAAAAAATTGTATACTAAGTTTTGAACGTGTCGAAAAAATCGCGAAAAAATAGATTTTTAACGGAACTTAATTGATTTAAATTTAAATTTAAAACCAGATTTAGAAGATTTAACCAACAACGTTGTCTAAAATGAACGATGGATCGCAATAAGCAGTAAATAGGCCTACATGAATAAATGACTGTCTGGGTAGGTGCTCACTCCCGGGGCACGTAACAAGGGGGTGAGGGGGGAGCCCTAACCCCTATAGGAGGTCATTATATGGGGGGTGGGGAGGGGGGGGGGGGTGATAGCCAGCCAGCCCCCCCCCCACCCCCCTTTCCTCTCGAAGCCCCTCGTGTGGGGGGGTCTGAGCATTTCAATATTATCTTGGGCTTACGATAATTCCTTCACATGTGGCTAGATTACCAGCAAAGTGTGTGTGAGTCAGGCCCAGGCCCGCTGATTCATGGGGCGCTACACCCCCCCTCAATACCCCCCCCTTTTTACTACTACTTCGCTCCCACACCCCACCACCAGCACCACAATCGTCACCCCCGCCACCACCACCACAATCGTCACCCCCGCCACTAGCACCACCACCACAATCGTCACCCCCGCCACCACCACCACAATCGTCACCCCCGCCACTAGCACCACCACCACAATCGTCACCCCCACCACTAGCACCACCACCACAATCGTCACCCCCGCCACCACCACCACAATCGTCACCCCCGCCACTAGCACCACCACCACAATCGTCACCCCCACCACTAGCACCACCACCACAATCGTCACCACACCACCAGCAGCACCACCACAATCCTCACCCCCACCACTAGCACCACCACCACAATCGTCACCCCCACCACTAGCACCACCACAATCGTCACCCCCACCACTAGCACCACCACAATCGTCACCCCCGCCACTAGCACCACCACCACAATCGTCACCACACCACCAGCAGCACCACCACAATCCTCACCCCCACCACTAGCACCACCACCACAATCCTCACCCCCACCAGCACCACCACCACCACAATCGTTACCCCCACCACTAGCACCACCACCACAATCGTCACCCCCACCACTAGCACCACCACAATCGTCACCCCACCACTAGCACCACCACCAGAATCGTCACCCCCACCAGCACCACCACCACCACAATCGTTACCCCCACCACTAGCACCACCACCACAATCGTCACCCCCACCACTAGCACCACCACAATCGTCACCCCCACCACTAGCACCACCACCACAATCGTCACCCCCACCAGCACCACCACCACCACAATCGTCACCACCACCACTAGCAGCACCACCACAATCGTCACCCCCACCAGCACCACCACCACCACAATCGTCACCCCCGCCACCAGCACCACCACCACAATCGTCACTCCACCACCACCAGCACCACCACCACAATCCTCAACCTCACCCCCAGCACCACCACCACAATCGTTACCCCCACCAGCACCACCACCACAATCGTCACCCCCACCCCCCACCACCACAATCGTCACCCCACCACCAGCACCACCACCACAATCGTCACTATACAGTATACAATCTTCCAGGGGTATAAATGTACAGTATATAATGTTCGGGATTGTAACATTCTAGAATATAATGACCCATTCTGCAAACTTACAATCTAATAGTGTAAAAATAAAGCGAATATGACTTAGATTTGGTTCATAGCGTGTAGTAGATTACATAATAAAAATAAAAAATAATAACTGATTACAATTACAAAATAAACAAATTAATAAAAACAGTAATTAGACCTGATAATAAATAATAAAATAAAAAATAATAATATTAATCCAATAATACAATGATAATTATTGGCATTTTGTTGATAATATATATATAATAATATTTACAAAATTTCGGTATTAGAGGGGGGGGGGGGATGAGGCTGGTTATCATGACTGATATAATTATAACTTAAGCAGTGTAGAAACCAGGATAGATTAGTTATCTCTGGTTATCCGGCCCGGCCCACCTGCCAGCGCTCACTCCTACATCACCTGTACCTTACCTGTGGCTCACCGTACCTGGATGGTGATTGGGGGTGGGGGGAGGGGGGAGGGGAGATTCACTATCTTTTTGTCATTATCCTCGTTATCATCCTCTGGTCGTTAGGCCTCTCCAGCCGAGCTTATGTTATCACTATTCAAGATATAAGGACACATTCTTCACCATCCACCGCTGGGTAAGATATCAGGACATTTCTCACCATCCCTAATGGCAAGATATCAGGAAACACATTCTTCACTGATATAAGTTATGATGATGATGCCTCCTCACCATTATTTAACGCGTTATCACAGCACCATCACATTATTCATCACCACAAATAAGTGTTATCATCACTAACCAAAATCGATATTCAATCATCACTATTAAGCCAGATATACACCATCAACACACAATCATCAGTATACACAATTCGCGAGCAACTCTATAAACAAACCAATACACAATCCTCACACCATCAGTACACAATCGTCAAAATATACAATCGACGTCAATAACCGGCTGAAATATACACAATCATCAATACACCATCAATACAATACACTGTCGCGCTAATACACAACAATCGCCACCCATACACAATTACCCCCCAACAAAATTCACATTGACAATCACTACACAATCTGCATGTGTCTACGCGTTACTCCTCCCTTCTCCTATCCCCCCTGTTCGTCTTTCACTGTAATCCTTCCAGAGGTGGCCGAGATGGAGGAGCTGATAACGTAGGGAGATGGGAGGAGGCGATAGCGGGGGAGATGAGAGAGACTGATAACGCTGAGAGATGGAAGGTTCTGATAGCTGGAGACAAAGCGTAGGGAGAGAGGGAGAGGGAGGGAGAGAGAGAGAGAGAGAGAGAGAGAGAGAGAGAGAGAGAGAGAGAGAGAGAGAGAGAGAGAGAGAGAGAGAGAGAGAGAGAGAGAGAGAGAGAGTTTACATGTTTCTTACATGTAAACATCAGTCTGAACTACACGTGTTTACCCTTACCATTGTAAACATTGTCTTAATATACACCTGAAAATATCCACGTAAAGGCACATCTGTGGTACACATATAAACACCCACCAGTAGGCCTACATACATGTAAACAACACCCACCAGTAGGCCTACACAGATGTAAACAACACCCACCAATAGGCCTACACACCTGTAAACACCCACCAGTAGGCCTACACACCTGTAAACAACACCCACCAGTAGACCTACACACGTGTAAACAACACCCACCAGTAGGCCTACACACATGTAAACAACACCCACCAGTAGGCCTACACACCTGTAAACAACACCCACCCGTAGGCCTACACACCTGTAAACAACACCCACCAGTAGGCTTACACACATGTAAACAACACCCACCAGTAGGCCTACACACCTGTAAACAACACCCACCAGTAGGCCTACACACCTGTAAACAACACCCACCAGTAGGCTTACACACATGTAAACAACACCCACCAGTAGACCTACACCCACGTAAACAACACCCACCAGTAGGCCTACACACCCACGTAAACAACACCCACTACTAGGCCTACACCCACGTAAACAACACCCACCAGTAGGCCTACACCCACGTAAACAACACCCACCAGTAGGCCTACACCCACGTAAACAACACCCACCAGTAGGCCTACACCCACGTAAACAACACCCACCAGTAGGCCTACACCCACGTAAACACCCACCAGTAGGCCTACACCCACGTAAACACCCACCAGTAGGCCTACACCCACGTAAACACCCACCAGTAGGCCTACACCCACGTAAACAACACCCACCAGTAGGCCTACACCCACGTAAACAACACCCACCAGTAGGCCTACACCCACGTAAACAACACCCACCAGTAGGCCTACACATATGTAAACAACACCCACCAGTAGACCTACACACTTGTAAACAACACCCACCAGTAGACCTACACACCTGTAAACAACACCCACCAGTAGGCCTATACACAAGCTAACACCCATCAGCAGGCCTACAAGACAACAGAAAACAAGAGATAACAGATAGCAGCGGCCACAGAGAGAGCGAGAGCGAGAGAGAGAGAGAGAGAGAGAGAGAGAGAGAGAGAGAGAGAGAGAGAGAGAGAGAGAGAGAGAGAGAGAGCGAGAGAAAGCGAGAGAGAGAGAGAGAGAGAGCGAGAGAAAGCGAGAGAGAGAGAGAGAGAGAGAGAGAGAGAGAGAGAGAGAGAGAGAGAGAGAGAGAGAGAGAGAGAGAGAGAGAGTAACTTACGCCTGCCCGTAGCGTAGGCCAGTCTGGCCAGAAGTTTCAACATATGGATCTGATGATATGTGGCGGCCGAGGCAGCAGCATCGCCGCTCAGTTGCAGCGTGTTGAGCACAGCGCCCAGATCCATGGCTGCTGCACGCTGCTGCACGCTGCTGTGGCGCTCACCGCTTCACACACACACTTTAAATCTCTCTATGTCACACTGCGGCCTGATTTTGTCCATTTACTTCACCGCTACATGGCCAAAGTTGCGGTGTTGGTGGGCACGTCCTGCGTGTATCCCGTTTGTCTCACACACAACGCCGACATTCACCGCGACTTATAACGCTGTTTAAATTTTCCTGTATTTGTGGTGGGGTGGGAGCGACAGGAGTATCGGAGGCGAGAGTGGCGAGACTCGCGGCCCAGCAGGAGCGGCGACGTCCGTCCCCCAGCGTGAGCAGCGGTGACTGGCGGCAGGCTGCCAGGCTAGGCGACGCCAGGCTGCCACGGTCTGAGGGGGGGGGGGGAGCACAGCTGACTAGCCCCTCCTTCTATCCCCGCCTCCAGCTAGCTCTAGCTCTAACTCTAACTCTAACTCACTCACTCACTCTCTCTCTCTCTCTCTCTCTCTCTCTCTCTCTCTCTCTCTCTCTCTCTCTCTCTCTCTCTCTCTCTCTCTCTCTCTCTCTCTCTCTCTCTCTCTCTCTCTCTCTCTCTCTCTCTCTCTCTCTCTCCCCTAGAGTAGAGCCAGACTTCATATTTCTCTTCCCGTCCACACTTTTATCGCTTTTCTAACTTGTTCTCATTCCTCTTCTCAGCGAGTTCCCTTCACACTTGTTGGCCACTGGTGGGGGGGGGGTGACTTTTGTGTACTCACCTATTTGTGCTCACCTATTTGTGCTTGCGGGGGTTGGTCTTTAGTCCCGCCTCTCAACCGTCAATCAACTTGTGTACAGATTCCTGAGCCTACTGGGCTCTATCATATCTACATTTAAAACTGTGTATGGAGTCAGCCTCCACCACATCACTGCCTAGTGCATTCCATTTACTAACTACTCTGACACTGAAAAAGTTCTTTCTAACGTCTCTGTGGCTCATGTGGGTACTCAGTTTCCACCTGTGTCCCCTTGTTCGCATACCACCAGTGTTGAATAGTTTATCCTTGTCTATACCCGGTCGATTCCCCTGAGGATTTTGTAGGTTGTGATCATGTCTCCCCTTACTCTTCTGTCTTCCAGTGTCGTAAGGTGCATTTCCCGCAGCCATTCCTCGTAACTCATGCCTCTTAGCTCCGGGACTAGTCTAGTGGCATACCTCTGAACTTTTTCCAGCTTCGTCTTGTGCTTGACAAGGTACGGGCTCCATGCTCGGGCCGCATACTCCAGGATTTGTCTTACATATATGGTATAGAAGATTCTGAAAGATTCCTTACACAGGTTCCTAAAGGCTGATCTGATGTTAGTGTGTGGTATACATGGTGTGTGTGTGTGTGTGTGTGTGTGTGTGTGTGTGTGTGTGTGTGTGTGTGTGTGTGTGTGTGTGTGTGTGTGTGTGTGTGTGTGTGTGTACATGCGTGGCACGCGAGTGTTTAATTAGCTTGGTGTAGTTACAGGATGAGAGCCACGCTCGTGGTGTCCCGTCTTCCCAGTACTCTTTGTCGTATAACGTTTTGAAACTACAGACGGTTTTAGCCTCCACCACCCTCTTCTTCTCACTTAGCTTGTTCCAACCACTCTGTAAAAGAAAACTTTCCAATATTATTTCGGCACCTTAGTTTCCTTAGCTTGGATCTGTGTCCTCTCGTTCCTGAGGTTGCTGGTTTCAGGAATTCCTCTTTGTCAATTTGGTCTATTTCTGTTAGTATTTTGTAAGTGGTGATCATATCGCCTCTATTTCTTCTATCATCTAGCTTTGGCACATTTAGCTTCTCTTTAAAACTTGTTTTTCAGTTCCGGAAGCCATTTTGTAGCATGCCTCTGCACCTTTCCCAGTTTATTGATGTGCTTCTTGAGATATGGGCACCATACAGCTGCTGCATATTCCAGTTTTGGTCTGACAAAAGTCATGAACAGTTTCTTTAGTATTTCACCCTCGACGTAATTAAGAATGATTCTGAAGTTAGAAAGCGCAGCATATGTTTCTTGCACAATGTTATTTATGTCTTCCTCACGAGACATTTCTACTATCCAAAACCAACCTTAAATCTCATTATTAGTTCTTTAAGTCCTTTCCACATAATTTATAAATTGTGTGGTCTATTTTTCCTATTACACATTCCATAACATGGCACTTATTCACATTGAATTTCATTTGCCCCATGGTGCTCCAAGCATTTATTTTATCTATGTAAATTTGAAGGACATGACAATTGTCTAGGTTTCCTAGGTTTTCCCCAGTATCTTAGCATCATCCGCAAACATGTTCATATAATTCTGTATTCCTTCTGGCAGATGGTTTATGTAGACGATGAACATTACTGGTGCAAGATCTGAACCCTGAGGTACTCTGCTAGCAACACTCCCCCAGTCAGAAAGAGAAAGAGAGAGAGAGAGAGAGAGAGAGAGAGAGAGAGAGAGAGAGAGAGAGAGAGAGAGAGAGAGAGAGAGAGAGAGAGAGAGAGAGACATAGACAGAGAGAGAGAGAGAGAGAGAGAGAGAGACATAGACAGAGACAGAGAGAGAGAGAGAGAGAGAGAGAGAGAGAGAGAGAGAGAGAGAGAGAGAGAGAGAGAGAGAGAGAGAGAGAGAGAGAGAGAGAGAGAGAGCCCGTCAGACAAGAGACCCGATCATTTCAGGTTAACCCCCCCCCCGTCTAGTAATAAATACATTGTATGAATCCAATCACCGAATCTTGAGGAACTTGGCTTGTTTACCAGGTATACTCCAGGTATACTCCAGGTATACTTAAGATTTAACACCTCAGCCTTGTCGTCCACTCCCGGGACTCTGAGTCCTGTCTGTTAGGTACTCTCTTAACCATCCCGGTGCTCCTCTTCCGCTATACACCATCCCACCTCTCCAGTTTATGGAACAGTGTCAAAAGATTTGTGGTTGTCAAGAGATAATTATGCTCATCATAGAGTATGATTTCCCTTCCTTGAAACCATGATGGTGGCTTGACATTCCAAATTCTCTCTCTAGATGTACCTGACTTGGACTCTAAGACGCTGTAACTCTTTGCTTGGAAGTCCCTGACAGGTGAGTGTGGGTAAGAGCCTTCCCCCCCCCTCCCTGTCACCTGTCTTGTCAATTGGCAACACATTTGCCGTCTTCTAACTTTTCGGTAGCTCTCCCTAAGCTAGAGAGTCGTTATATAATGATCAGAGCTAGAGGTATACCAAGGGCCTGTGGGCAAGTGGGTGTGGGCAGGGTAGTGTGGGCAGGGTAGTGTGGGCAGGGTAGTGTGGGCAGGGTAGTGTGGGGCAGGGTAGTGTGGGCAGGGTAGTGTGGGCAGGGTAGTGTGGGCAGGGTAGTGTGGGCAGGGTAGTGTGGGCAGGGTAGTGTGGGCAGGGTAGTGTGGGCGGGTAGTGTGTGCAGGGTAGTGTGGGCAGGGTAGTGTGGGCAGGGTAGTGTGGGCAGGGTAGTGTGGGCAGGCTAGTGTGGGCAGGGTAGTGTGGGGCAGGGTAGTGTGGGCAGGGTAGTGTGGGCAGGGTAGTGTGGACAGGGTAGTGTGGGCAGGGTAGTGTGGGCAAGTGGGTGTGGGCAGGGTAGTGTGGGCAGGGTAGTGCGGGCAGGGTAGTGTGGGCAGGGTATGTGGGGCAGGGTAGTGTGTGCAGGGTAGTGTGGGCAGGGTAGTGTGTGCAGGGTAGTGTGGGCAGGGTAGTGTGTGCAGGGTAGTGTGGGCAGGGTAGTGTGGGCAGGGTAGTGTGGGCAGGGTAGTGTGGGCAGGGTAGTGTGGGCAGGGTAGTGTGGGCAGGGTAGTGTGGGCAGGGTAGTGTGGGGCAGGGTAGTGTGTGCAGGGTAGTGTGGGCAGGGTAGTGTGTGCAGGGTAGTGTGGGCAGGGTAGTGTGGGCAGGGTAGTGTGGGCAGGGTAGTGTGGGCAGGGTAGTGTGGGCAGGGTAGTGTGTGCAGGGTAGTGTGGGCAGGCTAGTGTGGACAGGCCAGTGTGTGCAGGGTAGTGTGGGCAGGGTAGTGTGAGCAGGGCAGTGTGGGCAGGGTAGTGTGGGGCAGGGCAGTGTGGGCAGGCTAGTGTGGACAGGCCAGTGTGTGCAGGGTAGTGTGGGCAGGGTAGTGTGTGCAGGGTAGTGTGGGGCAGGGCAGTGTGGGCAGGCTAGTGTGGACAGGCCAGTGTGGGCAGGGTAGTGTGGGCAGGGTAGTGTGGGGCAGGCTAGTGTGGGGCAGCCGGGCCACATAAGAGGCAGGCGAGGCGTCCACAGACAGACAATGCCAGCGATGAAATGATACAAGAGTCGTCCATCACACAATTTTTGTCTTGTTCGTGTTTACACGGAACAAAAGATGCGACCATAAATATGCATGATGAGAGAGAGAGAGAGAGAGAGAGAGAGAGAGAGAGAGAGAGAGAGAGAGAGAGAGAGAGAGAGAGAGAGAGAGAGAGAGAGAGAGAGAGAGAGGTGGAAGATGGCGGGGGGGGGGATGCTGGGGCGGTTGTGGTTTAGGGGGCATATAGGTGTATAACCCTCCCCCCTTGCCCTGCCCTGTTAAAGGCTCTCTGGTAGTCCGAGAACATGCAATGGCCCCATTCATCCATTTTCCCGTCTGATCGGTGTTATCAGGTCTCACCCCCCCCCCCTTCCCTCCGTGTGGGGGGAAGGGAGGGAGGGAGGGAGGGGGGGGGGTTACTAGCCGGCGTCCCCGCCACTTGGAGGATCGTCCTGTCCACTTGGGTCTACAACCTGTACCGCCATTAACATCATGACGTCACACACCTTGTTGTTTTTCTTGTTTTAGACTCAGCTAATGGCAACAAAAAGCTGCCAGCAGCACGGGCTATGGTGATCCCGTGGTGGACTTACCTGGCACAGGAGCGGTGCCTGACACACCTTAATATCTTGATTGATGACTGATGAAGATTAAGCCACCCAAAAGGTGGCACGGGCATGAATAGCCCGTAAGTGGTGGCCCTTTTGAGAGCCATTACCAGTATCAAGAGATGATACTGGAGATCTGTGGAGGTGCAACTGCACCCTGCGTGACGGGAGATGTCTCCCGCATTGATATCTCTCTCTCTCTCTCTCTCTCTCTCTCCTCTC